GTGAATGTGGTTGTGACAACACAGACCTTTCTCATCAGCACGTGAAACTCAAAGGAGCATTTTTGTAAATTTGCAAGTGTTGAGAGGTGAAAAAGAGAAAGCCTGAAAGATGAGCGTGTTGTGTATGAATGCTATAAGATCACAGAGAGAGATGACGCAACTTCTCTGCTGACGGAGCTCCTCTCAGAAAAAGACCCTTCAGTCCCCATTCATCTGACCCGCTCTTCCCACTGACTACTGTTTACTGCGCTCCTGGTGGTGGGCGTGATTTAGTCGCCAAGCCGTGTCCTACTCTTGCGACCCCATGGACTGTGGCCCGCCAGGCTCCTCTGGCCATGGGATTCTCCAGGCAAGAATACTGGAGTGGGTTGCCATTTCCTTCTCCATACTGTGCACCTACTATGTGCCCAACTCCAGGCTACAGTCACAGAATACTTGCCACCATCATTATCATTACCACCAAGAATCTGTACAGTACCCATTCTGTACCTGGCCAACTGCCCTTATACCTGTGGAATTAACAGATTGGAATTTAAGTAAGTGAAGCTATAAAACCTGAAGCACAAACCTACTGTTACTGTTATTTTTTAAATTGATTCTTTTTTCTACAAAGTAGTCACTCTCCTCTCATCACAGCCCAGCTGGCTGCTACTAAGGAACTGGCAGCTCATCACACACGTGTGTGACATTACAAATACCTGCGTGAGGGAGAAGAGTAGAAGAGTTTGCGTCTCCATAGTCAGCATGGATCATGCTTGAAAGATGAAATTTGAGGCTCAAAGAAATGTCATGTCTCCCCTATGCTGAATCAGTCAGTCAGAGGAGAATTTGACCCAGGCATACATCTCCCAATCCCTTCCTAGTTCAGAATTATTCCCACAGTTACTCCACCTTGTTTAAAAAAATCATTTATTTGGGCTTAAAAGTGGATTGACTTAGAACTATTAAAAGCGAATGAAAAATCCCAAGTTTGCCTGCCTCTGAGCTATACTCTAACCTGATACAGTTTTCCATTGATAATGCAAACACATGACCACCAGCTATTTTTCTAGCCCCAGAAAAGAGCTAGTGTCAATGTCTTCATCCACTCTTACCTGGTCTGATAGTATAATATCAGGGTTGGTAGAAAGTAAGAAGAAGCTTTGTAGTGATGGAGAAAGACTTTTCAATGCAAAACTGACTAAACTGTAAATCAAATCTGTGCACCTAACAACTTAAAATACAGTCAGTGGACCAGCAATATTAGCATCTCTTGGGAGCTTGTTAGAAATGCAGGATCTCAGGCCCAGTTGCCCATCTACTGAATCAAAATCTGCACTTCAACAAGATATCCGGGTGACTCACATACACACTAAATTTTATGAAGCACTGTCCTAGACCTGGTGAGCACCAAGTCCCAGAGCTTCCCAATTCCAGTGAGACAAAAGCCTGAGAGCTGTGCTGAGTCAGCAGTTTCCTCAGCTTTAGCAGAGGTGGGCAGAGCCTGAATTCTTCAAAGCCACTGGGCCAGCGGCCTCCAGTCATGCACAGCCTGTCCACTTACCCTGGTATACCATGTAAACACAGGCTTGTATTTCTTGCATGTACATAAGAAAAGGTTATGTACTTTTCACGTACTCTCTGCATGAGAAAGATTAAGGACTGTTCTAACAACTGAGTGAACTTGAACAAGTGTTGGAAACATGAATTCAATTTTGTAGGGGGCTTTGATGTCTCAAAACATGCCATAAAATCATCAAGGGGTTATTTTTATCAACACTAACGGGACACACTGGGATTCCAGAAGGCACGCAGCTGCTGCTTTGTTCTGAGGACTGACTATTTGGTATCCCAGAAGGGCAGGATGATATCCCAATCCCAGTGCTCTGTGACAGCGACTTTTGGAGTAGGTTTGAGGCGCCTCTCTTTATCTGATGGGAAATGACAGCCATTACATTGAGTTATAACTTGACAGCATACTCTAAGAATGAGAGGAATCTAGGCTTATAAAACAGCCCCTTACATTTTCCTATTGAGAAAATACCTGCAACTTACTTTTTCTCTGGAAATACTTGATTTTACATGCTTATTAGAAAGGGAGCATCAGTATAAATAAAAGCGTGTCAGCTTCTTTGTAACACAAGGCGCTCCAATGCAAGACATTCGGGGCACTTAGCCATCTTCAGTCTCAGCACAACCCAGGTACTCTCGACCCACCTCATGCAGTCCCGCACAGCCGACGTCAGCCATACTTAAATTTAAATAAAATTATTTGAAGCTTAAATTTAAATATAAATTAACTTAAATCAAACAGGATAAAAAATTCAGTTTCAAATTAGCATTTACTATATTTCAAGAGTTCAGAAGTCACATATGAGTAATGACTACCACAGTGGATATGCATACATAAATTATTTCCACTACCACAGACAGTTCTATTAGAAGGTGCTACTCCAGGCTGTCCAAATAAAGTATGTTCCGCCCCTAGATTCTTGTGGGAAAAGGGTCAAAGGGCCTTTCTTTATCATGTTACTATTTTTTTTTACTTCATATTACTGTATTTTTTAATTTGATCTGCACTTTTTGTGGCATTTATTTCCAGGCCATAAGTTTTTGTCTCTTCAGCTTCTTCTAGGATGTCTTTTTCTTCTGTGCATCCTCTTCTGGTTTAGGAACAACCTGCTCTTTTTCAGTAAGGGCCATCTCAATGTGGCGGGGAGCGCTCCTGTACGAGTTGACCCAAGCATGAGCTCTGTGAGCTCTGGGCTGCATCTCAGGGGATTTGTCTGCCTGGATGTGTTCAATGACCAAAGATTCTACATCTAAGCCTCTAGGTTCAGTATTACTCTCTGCATTTTTCAGCATGTGCAGTAAAACTCAGCACTCTTTTTGCACCACTAACCCTGCATCCAATGCCACTGTCAGGCCTGGGCACACCTACCAACTCCACGATTGTAAGGATGGAATGAAGAGTGACATCCTTCAGATGTTGTCGTTGTTCAGTCACTAAATCACAGCTGACTCTCGTGACCCCATGGACTTCAACAGGCCCCTCTGTCCTCCACTGTCTCCTCAAGTCTGTTCAAATGCATGTCCACTGAGTTACGAATTTGAGCAAATCCTTCAGATGCTTGGTGGCTTTTTAGATAGGCGCATCCTTCATGGCTTGGGCAGTTTCATGAGTGTTTTTAATGTGAACATGAAGAACCTACTGTTTTGTATGATTTTGTGGGGTTTTCTGGGTTAAGTGAATAGTGAGTCATGTTTAGAGGTCACCTCAGACCACTTACCAGAAAAGCATCATATTACTATTCTTAGCACAACCAACTGAAGCCCAGTAAGATAAAATTGTGAGCCACATACACTTACTCTCAAGAGCGTCTTCCCTCTGTTTCTACTCCCCAACCCCAGCATCAGGAGCTAGTGAGACTTCCTGGAACACTGTAGGAAGATTACTCCAGGAGAAACATAGTTTGAGTTTTCTAACCATGCCTCACATCCACCCTTCATGGTAAATTCTTAAAGCATGCCCACTCCATCCCTACATACCCAAAATACTCCACCAAAACGGCCACCATAAAAAGAATTATATTATGTCTGTTAGCTCATTAACTCTCATGAGGTCATCCATCTTACAAATGTGAATCAAGAGATGTCTCTCTACCAGGCACTGTGCCGGCACAGAAGATACACTGGTGGATAAGATAGTCATCGTCTCTTTCCTCAAGGAACTGACAGTCTAGCAGGAAACAGTGAACAAGCTATTACAAGTCTGACACAGACAACGCAGGGAAAGCAGCAAATGATCTAAGAGGAAGGTCTGACCTTGTCTGCTGGGTTAGGGAAGGCCTCCTTAGCAAGTGATGTTTGAGGTGAGGTTTGAAAGATAAAATGCTAGTTAGGAAAAGGAGAGAGGAAAGGCATTCCAAGCAGTGGTAATGCCACAGCCCAAGGCTTTGAAGGTGGGAAGAACAAAGAATTGAAAGAGTATCGGTGTGACGGGCTCCCAGAGACTGAGTGGAGAGGGGCAGAGACAGGGGAAGAGAAAGCGTGGAGGTCACTCAGGCTGCCGAGAACAGACAGGACGGGAGCAAAGATGCAAACACACAGGTGATGTCTGAAATTCTGCGCAGGATCAAGGGTGGGACGAAGGTACCGTAAAAGTGGGCAGATTAACGAAACATTTGGACAAGAAGAGAATCACCAAGCCCTAAGACTGAAAGATATCAAGAGTGAGGAAGAGAGAGGAGTTTTAAAATGATCCCAGATTTCTGGGTTTCAGGACTGTTTAGAGGGTAAACTGGCAAGCACTGTAAAAGGAGAATGTTGCAGAGATCCGGGTATTAAAGTTAAGTTGGAATTAAGATGGAATTAACAATGTCTGTGAGACATAGTATAAAAGGTGGGTGTCTGAGTGGCCAGCAGTTATATCCAGGGGTCACCATGAGGGGTGGAGATGAGACTGAAACCCATGGAGTCAATGGGATCACCTCAGGAGAGAGCGCAGATTAGAAAGAAAGGACGCTGAGGCCCCACGGAGCCCCACAAGGAGCCTGAAGCACGTGGCCGGCTGCAGCTGCCTTCAGGAGACCCACAATCTCATCAGTGGTCCATTCAGAAACATCCAAGATTCAGTCTCAACAATCAAGCGTCTGCAACTGGCAAGAGACTGTCTTTCCGAGGTTTTCTGCAAGCTTTGACATATTTGAACACTTTCAGATCATTTCTGTCGCTGGCTTAAAGTCAGGCTTCTGGCGGCTCTGTTGCAGGAGAGACGTCTTCCCTCGATTCCTTGAGCTGCACTGTCTCCTGGTGGCCACTGCCTGACAAGCAATCACCCTGCTCTTTCTGCTGGTTTGAGATCCGCAAACCCCTCAGGTTGCCTTCTACCCAAACAGCTATTTTAAGCTGCTTTCACGGTCTCATTGAGCTTGAAGTGCAACTGGGCAGGAAGGTAACTGAAGTGTAACCGAGCAGCAATCACTGATTTTTCTCCCTCCTCTCTTCAAATATTTTTGTAATACAGGCAGGAACTGTTATGGAGACAGGAAGTACAGATGACAAAAGAGCTCATAAATTGCTGTAACACCATAGACATGTTCCTACTAATGACATTAATCTTATTTTTAATTTATTTATATGTAGAGTTTAATTAACTCGTGGTAGCTTTTCTTCCCACTAGCATTAAACCAAACTCCAGGCAACAAAATATATTTAATGGCTGATAAAATAAACCAACACAGTTGTTTTATTTTCCATTTTCAGAGTCAGTTACAAGCATTAAAATACAGAAAACTGTTTTAACAGTAAATAGAAAACTAATTCATAGAATACTTCATAGATAATTAGATAAATAGATAATTCATATATCTATTTTTTCCCATACTTTTCCTTTCACAGATAATATGTAAAATTATGGAAAAATAAGATATTTTGCACTTTCAAGGATGAGCTAAGTTATGATGATGGTGTCCTCTGAACAATCCTATCTAAGAAAACAGTTTTCAATTTAGGTTAAATGTAAACCACAAAAAGTGTTTAATACTAATTTTTGTTTTTGTCCAAACTTCCCAATTATATATCACATGAAGTAATTATAAAAGTTCTAATTTTCAGAGAATTTCTAACTGACAAGAGATCAAACACCCTTGTGTTACCTGATATTCATTCACTTTAAGAGAGATGAAACTCAACCAGACAAATTTTAAAGCAAAATTAAACAGAAAACACAATCATAAAACAAAAGAACCAGTATGACCCATGTGCTTTCTTAATTATCTCCGTTTCTTTCAGTTCAGATGTTTATAAAAATGTATCTTTGGAATATGTTTGGTCTTCTATCAGACACATGCCCAGAAGTTTTATTTCTCTAAATTCTACCATAATTATTGAACAAACCATAGGTGAATGAATATGGAGAGTGCCGTCTAGTGTGTAGCACTAGACGATGAATGATATAAAACAATTCTTGATCTTGTATTAACTTGAAACCTGACTACCAATGTATAAATCAATTCAAAGAGAAGATGGGAAAGCACTCAAAATTATACATCATGCAAATCTAAATAAGTATTATTCTTATAATAGAGTTACCTCACCAACATGATTGTAGAGGAGAGCTCCATCACAAACACACATGTACAATTTGACCAAATAGATAAAATAAATTAGATGAGAAAATACACCCCAGAAGTTAAAAACGTACGGCCACTGCAAAAATAAGACTCAGCTTTGAAACTTCCCATTAACTTTTGGTTTGAAGACTGTTTGTGAGGCAGATTAATCTTATTTTTTCTTTCATCACAATTGTCTAATTTTCTATCTTAATTCTCAGAATGAATATGGAGCAGCAGCCAAACAGAAAACAGAAGTCCAGATTGCCAGCGGCACCTATCTGAACACTGTTGTTCTGTGCAGAGAGCAGGGATGTGTGTCCAGTCGAAGCACACAGTAAATTACGTGGAACATCCAACCCCCAAGTGTCCTACGCTGCCACGTAGGGAAACTCCAGTGCATTTCTGAAGGATCTCTTTGCTCAGGAAGGTTTAAGCAAAGTTCAAAACAAAATCTGCTCCCCCGCGGATAATCTTAAATCAAAATCAGGATGCCACAGGCTTGATTCATGAGCCTTTAAAACCCTATGAGTCCTGACACATACAGACACAGTCTCAGATTCCCAGCAACCCTTTTGCTGTTTCCTCTAACGACGTCAAATTTCCTTGGGTCATCATTACATCCCAGCAGTTTGTACAGGAAAAGTAGGATCACAGAAGAAATTTAAAAAGCCCTTCTTACAGAGAAATTAAAAGACTCTTGCTCCTTGGCAGAATAGCTATGTCAGACCTAGACCATGTTTTAAACAGAGACCTCACTGTGCTGACAAAGGTCCATCTAGTCAAAGCTATGGTTTTTCCAGTAGTCAAGTATGGATGTGAGAACTGGACCATAAAGAAGGCTGAGTGCCAAAGAACTGACGCTTTCATACTGTGGAACTGGAGAAGACTCTTGAGAGTCCTTTGGACTGCAAGGAGATAAAACCAGTCAATCCTAAAAGAAATCAACCCTGAATGTTCATTGGAAGGACTGATGCTGAAGCTGAAGCCCCAATAATTTGGCCACCTGATGCAAAGAGATGACTCATTAGACAAGACCCTGATGCTGGGGAAAATTGAGGGCCAGAGAAGGGGGTGAAAGAGGATGAGGTGGTTGGATAGCATCACTGACTCAGTGGACATGAATTTGAGGAAACTCAAGGAGACAGTGATGGACAGAGAAGCCTGGCATGTTGCAGTCCATGGAGTAGCAAAGAGTTGGACCTGACTTAGCAACTCAAGAACAGCATTTGTTTACAATCTGTAGCAAATGTGAGTGCATTTGTTTACCATTCCTGAATGTTCTCTTAGATGCTTATCGAAGAACAAATCACTAATATCAGGATCTAGACCACAGCCAAGGAGTCAAGATCCTGCGGCTCTGTTTTTGTCACACAGACTTTGAGATGCTCTGCATCACCAACCACCCTAGAGGAGCTGACAGTGACCTTTCACGGCAGTGGCTTCTAGAGACAACACCTCACGTCTCCCCAGCTCAACTCTGTACTAGCCAGCCAGGCCGACTTAACAATATACCACAGTCAGGGGGCTTAAGTAACAGAAATGCATTTTCCCACAGTTCTGGAGTCTGTACGTCCCACAGTCAAGCTGCCATCAGGATTGGTAACGGGAAATTCCTCCACTTGCAAGTGACAGTTTTTCCATGTCCTCACATGGCCTTTTCTCTCTGTGAGTGCATGAAAAGAGAGAGTTCTTTATCTCTGCACTTATATGGACACTAATCGCATTGGACTAGGGCCCCATCCATATGACTCACTTAACTTAATTACCTCCTTAAATATCCTGTCTCTAGATACAGTCACATTAGAGGTTAGATCTTCAACATATAATTTTGTGAGAACACAGTTAAGTCCATTACAAATTCATGTTTATTGATAGTCTGGTAGAATAAAGATGTGGCACTAGACTCAGGAAATACAAAAGTAAATAAGACATTTTCCCTGGCCTCAAAAAGTACACAACTTAGTGAGGAGATCAATGTGTATATAACTATCTAGGACCCAAGTCAGCGACCAAAGTACAGATATTAGAATCTAAAAGAGCGATAAAATGCTGTAGAATAAAAGGACTGTGGATGAGTTTAAACAAAGGGTGTGATATGGCTTTGTGCCCTTTAGAATGACCACTCTGGTAACAGTGAGGAAAATGGACTGGGATAGAGACTGAAACAAAGAGGAAAGTTAGAAATTTCCTATTAACCTAGAAGACGAAGAAAGAAAACTGGAACTCTATCAGAGAAATATGATTAAAGGCAAGGAAACAGATTTGAGAGACTTTTAAATAATAAGGTCAAGAAAATTTTGGGAAATTAATGGCTTCTATCACAAAGAACTTCTGGGGAGCATTACTCTATTTTTCACTTTTCTCAGTCCACTCAATTAGCATTTCCACATCTCCTTGATTTATAACTCTGCTAGCACATGTTGAAAAATATCTTTAATTCAATCTAACATGCTTTCTAACATATTCTGATCACCTTTCCCAAATACACTTTAATGTTACAAATCTAAACATGCTAGACATTGTCACTGGATATTGAAAATAAAGATCTATTAATGCAAATATAACAGCCTCGGATATTAACATATTCCTTAATATATATTTAGGAATTATATCTCAGAGTTTACCTGTAAACTCTAGACATATAGTATTCTCAAAGCCAATATTAGTTGGGCACTCTTTTGTTCTCCTTTTGTGGCCATGATACACCACCATTCTTTTGGGCACCCAGCTCATGCCTCGGAATCATCATGAACCTTTCCTTCTCCCCAAATTCTTCACCCAGTAAGTCACAGAGACCTGCAGGCCTTCCTTCATATTTTAGAGTGAAATCTGTTGCTAGTTAGTCGCCAGGTGTGTCCAGCTCTTTCGCAACCCCATGGACTGTAGCCCACCATTCTCCTCTGTCCATGGAATTCTCCAGGCAAGAATACTGGAGTGGGTTGCCAATTCCTTCCACGGGATCTTCCCAACCCAAGGATCGAACTTGCTTCTCTTGTATCTCCTGAATTGCAGGCAGATTCTTTACCACTGAGCCACCTAAAATGACTTTATCAGTCATCTTTCCCTATTTCCAGGGCCAATCCTCAGCAGCACCAGAATTATTCCAAGCCATTCTGCTGGCAACAGCCACATGCCTTCCAAAGACACGATTCCATTCAGGCACTCAGATTAGGGCTTCCCCTGACCCAATCAGGCAAACCTAGTACCTTCTCTTAGAAATTGTATCACAGTTATCTGTATGTGCCTCCCTCCACCTAGATGAGATTGTTAAGTGCAAGAGTCGTATCTTGTTCAAGCAAATCCACACACATGCTTTGGACCTGTATATACTTTGTGGGTTGAATTAATTGCTTAAGAGATTCCTTGTGTGAAGAGAGTTTACATTAGTGATTGTGTTAAATATAGTGTTGCAGGAATATATGCTGTTCCCCCACTCATATGTAAAGTATTTAACTGCCAGGCCAGGGTGTTCCATTTCTTTATACTTCAGAGAATCTAAGGCAATGCCTTAAAGTTAGTAGGTGCCTACGTGGTAACTTGTGTTTGATGTAGGCAGCATCTTTCTACTCAATGCAGCACAAACTGGAACCAGGTTGCAACCAAAACACATTTCCCTATTTCTATATTATAAGCTTCATTCAAGAGATCATTTAAGACTACCATTTCTCAGATACTCCTCCAGAATCTATTATGCTAACATGAAGTATAAGCTGGCCCTTGAATCTCATTTGGCTTCTAACACTGCTTTGTGTGGAAGCACAGGGTGATAAAGGGAATTTAGTCACTACAGGAGGTTAGAAACCAGACTTTAAAACTGAGTTCTTGAGGGTAGGATGTTTCAAGAGAACAGCATCGAAACATGTATATTATCTAGGGTGAAACAGATCACCAGCCCAGGTTGGATGCATGAGACAAGT